AACCTTTATTTGCATTATGTCTAAATTGATTTTTAAATTTAAATCATTTTAATAGTTGTTACGAAAATATATTATTAAGATTAATAATTAAATTGAAAAATACCTCAGTACTCCTGCCATATCATTACCTTGAGGTAGATTTGCTGTAACAAGGCCCAACCCAGCAATTATCCATGCATCTTGTCCTTGAACGGTCATAATCTTTCCTTTCTCAAATTTTTTTATTTCTGAAACAAATGGTACCATAAACTTGTTAAAATTTCCACCAAAAGGAATAAATCCAAGAACAAAATGGTTCTTGATTAGCTTTCTCTGATGCGTTGGCATGTTACCAAACTGTATATAGACGCCACCTAAGGAATGGTATACATTTCTAAATGTACCAAAATCATCATAGTAAAGATCTAAAAACAGCTTATAAACTGGCATAGACGACGGTGGATTTCTGACAGAAATGTAATCTGAAGGATGTTGATATGAAAGCTTTGCATCACGAACGTGCCAACGGTCATTACATTTATAAATTATTTCAGTAATTCGTAATGAACCTTCTGGAATAATTTGGTGTTTATACGTCATCATTATAGTTACTTTCTCTAAAATTTGAGAGGTAATTATGGTTATAAATGGTTCATCCTGAAACCATACTTCCCTAGTTAGAGAACGACGTCGTCTTGATAGCCCTTTTATATTTCCAGATAAATCATCATAATTTAAAATTAGTTGAACTCGTAACTCATAGTTTCCATTTTCATCTTTTAAAATTGCTCTCAANTGGTAAAATTTGAATAGGCTTTGTTATTATTGGTAGGAGAGGAAGACGTTTTCTCCATGATTGGAATCTACAGATATTTTTTACTACATGAGTAGGTTCGAATTGAGGATTGTGAATGATATCAACAAGGTCTTCATATGCTTTTGTAGAAACATTATGCTTCTGAAGCTAACAAAATAGTGCCGTAGTTGTATAATTATCAAAGTACGGTGCAAATTCACCATTGCAGTATGGTATTTTGTCTTCATCCAAAGCTTCAACAATTTGATGTATTTCTTCCTCTTCGTTGTCATTACGTTCCTCTTCGTCATTGTTACGTTCCTCTTCCTCTTCATTATTACCTTCCTCTTCCTCCTCTT